TCTGTTGCTTATAGTTGCAAGTTCTTAATCCTTGTTTTCAGCTTCAGTTTGCCGCCTGCGGCCAGCAGCCACGCGCAGGCGCATGCCTGGCAGCCACACGCAAACCCAGGGGCCACGCACAGGCCCAACAGCCACGCGCAGGCACAGGCCCGGCGGCCATGCACAGGCCCGGGGGCCACGCGCAGGCCCGGTGGCCACACGCAGACCCAGGGGCCACATGCAGGCGCAGGCCCAGCGGCCACGCGCAGGCCCAGTGACCACGTGCAGGCACAGGCCCAGCGGCCACGCACAGGTCCGGAGGCCACACACCAGCCCCAGAGTGGCAGCGGAACGCGGAGCAGAGCCCCGGCTGCGCAGGCCCAGGGGGCCGCGCCTCTATTGGGTTTTCAGGAAAGTCATGACTCGTTTTTGCATAGGAAAAAGAAAAGTATGTCTTGACTTTCCTGACAACACAACAGTTTTACTTTTATAGCCTGTGCTTTTGTAGTGACATCCAAAAGTAGCTGCCTAAACCAAAGTTGTAGAAATTTTCCTCAATGTTTTCTTGTAGTAGTCTTACAATGAGGTGCCATTTTAATATGGTGTGGAAAAGGATTTGTTTCCATTCTTCTGCATGTGGATACTCAGTTTTCCTAACACTATTTGTCAAAGAGATTCTTCTACCTCCATTATGAAGTTATATATTACTGTAAGTCAACAAGACTAAATAGTGGGACCAGCAGTTAGCGTAATGGCTGGCGCTGGACTCCCCTGTAGCCAACTGCAGTACGAGTCCCCGACCCAGTGGCTTAAACTCACGTTGGGTGTGTGTGCATGCGTGCCCAAGATCCCGAGAGGAGAATGGAGGAGAAGAGACTGCAGCGTGGCCATCCCCCCTGAGGGTGATTTCTCGCTTTCTGTCTCTGTCTGTCTTTCTGGCGAGTGCACGCACCCTTTAGCAAAAAAAAAAAAAAAAGAGAGAGAGAGAGAGAAAAGAAGACTAAATAGTAATTTGCACAAATCAGAACATTTACAGGCTATGCCTTTGTTCACTTCTAGATAGAGGTGTTTTGATTTGATAGATTTTAATCAAAATCTTCCTTTATGGGAAGGTACTATTTTAGAATCGTGGCCATAGGTAAATAGAAGGTATTGACAAAAAAAAAAAAAAAGGTTTAGGAAAACACCACATTCTCTGTAATATTGTTTGTCTTTATACATTCTCAGTTCAAATAAGATGATCTGAGTGAAAACATGAAGCAGTGGAATGAAACCTCAACTGACTTCATCCTTCTGGGGCTCTTCCCTGGATTTAAACACCAATATCTCCTCATCCTTCTCATCCTCCTTGTCTACACTGCTGCCTCTGCTGGAAATTCCGTCCTGATCCTCCTCATCTGGCTCGACTCCCGCCTGCACACCCCCATGTACTTCCTGCTTAGTCAGCTCTCTCTCATTGACCTGGCTTATATCTCCAGCACGGTCCCGAAGATGGTCACCAACTACTTCACAGGCAAAAAGGACATTTCCTATTTGGCCTGTGCTGCTCAGATGTTTTCCTTTCTTACCCTCGGCCTGGCTGAATGCATCCTTCTCACCCTCATGGCCTATGACCGCTATGTGGCTGTCTGCAACCCTCTGAGATACACCGTCCTTATGAGCCCCAGGGCCTGCCTGCAGATGGCTGCTGTGGCCTGGACTGGAGGGGCGCTTGCTGCCCTTGTCCATACCATCTACCCAATGCATTTTCCTGTCTGTGGCTCCAGGGAGATTAATCACTATTTTTGTGAGATGCCTGCCATCCTGAGGCTGTCTTGTGTGGACACATCAGCTTACGATATGGTGAAATTCGTGTCAACCATTGTGTTCCTCCTGGTGCCTTTTGTTCTCATCGTGACCTCGTACACACTCATCTTCCTCACTGTCCTCAGGATGAACTCTCGCAAGGGGAGAAACAAAGCCTTGGCCACATGCACCTCCCACCTGACTGTGGTGAGTCTCTACTTTGGTCAGGCCATCTTCATCTACATGACACCCAGCTCTTCCCATACACCTGAGCAAGACCAGGTAGGAGCTGTCCTTGGTACCATAGTGACCCCCATGCTGAATCCGCTCATCTACAGCCTCAGGAACAAAGAAGTCTTGGAGGCTCTAAGGAAGTGCATGGGAAGGTGCTGCAGCTAGGAGAGCATTCTGTGTCTTCAGTGCCACTCTCAGAAACGTCCCGTCCTCAACTTCCAGTACCCTCAGTCAACTAAAATCTTAAGATGTTAGTATTATTGTATTAGAAGTACAACACCATGAGGGAGAGAGAATGTATTACTGCTTTAGAACTCATATAAGTTAACATTTGTTTTGGGAGGAAATGGCGTTCTTAGATCCCTAATGGTGACTTCAGCCAATTAGAACCTTAGTGAGTGTAATTTACAATTGCCTTGTGGGAAGGTACATGGTTTTGACAGGAAGGTCTGTGCAGAGGTAAGTGAACCCCACTGCCCTTTTCAGCATCAGTGCATCAGGTCACACAGTCCAAACCTGATTTGCCACCCTGGGACTAACTCCTTGATTGATGTTTCTCACTTTTTTTTAAGATTTTTACTACAGAGTGCATGTGCTTGCCAGAGATACAGAGCGAGACTGAGAGAAGGAAAGTGAGAAACCACACACACCCAGTGGGGATGACCATCCTGCAGTACCTTCCCCTCCATTTTCCTCCTGAGATTTTGGGCATGCACACACACACGCCCAGCATGATTCTCAAGCCACTGGGTCCAGGAATTAACCCACGATCAGCCATGTGGGAGTCCAGCACCTTAACCACCATGTCCACCTGCTGGACCCCATCTATTCACTCGTAATGTCCCTGATTCAATCTCTACTGTTCAAATGATAAAAAAAAAAACTTGTGCTATTAAACCTTCCTATAGAACATCTTCTTTTTCCAAATTCCTATTTTTAATCACATATTTTTTTGTATTTTATTACATTAATTCATATAACTTAAAATCTAAACAGTCACGGGACCAGCAGTTAGCGTAATGGCTATGTCGCTGGACTCCCACGTAGTCGACCGCGGTTCGGGTCCCGGACCCGGGGGCTTAAACTCACGCCGGGCGCGTGTGCGTACGTGCCCAAGATCCCGAGAGGAGAATGGAGGAGAAGGGATTGCGGCGTGGCCATCCCCCCTGGGGGGTGATTTCCTGCTTTCTATCTCTCTGCCTCTCTCTGTCTGTCTGGCGAGCGCACACGCCCTATAGCAAAAAACCTCTCACCAAAAAAAAAAAAAAAAAAAATCTAAACAGTCACATATGGACAGAAGACACAGAGGTGAATTTAGAAAAAAAAATTAAAAGAGTAGCTATGACTTATCATTTTTCCTATTAAAATGTCACCATTTTTAAACTTTTCTTGGGTATGTTACCATTTAAATGTATCAAGCTTATGAAGTAGTTTGGCTTTAGCAACGTATGGACATACGGAGCATGGCATCTGAGACTTCAGCTCGAAATAATTAAAGCAGCCTTCTTTAAGAAAAACAAACATAAAATTTAACATTACAGCAGCCAGTATGTAGTGTGGTTGTTAAGGCACTGGACTTCCATGTGGCCAATGTCAGTTCAAGTCCCATACCTGGTGGCTTGCTTTCTCACTTTCTATCTCTCTTTCTCTGTCCCTCTCTCTCTCTCTTGTGAGCATACATGCCCTATAACAAATTTTTAAAAACTAATAATGATAATAATAATAATAAATAAATAAAGTTAAATAAATAATTCCTTTTACAATTTTTTTTCCCTTGGAGAGATTTTCACTGTAGGGCGCGTGCGCTCGCCAGACAGACAGAGAGAGACATAGAGACAGAAAGCGAGAAATCACCCCCCAGGGGGGATGGTCACGCCACAATCCCTTCTCCTCCATTCTCCTCTCGGGATCTTGGGCACGCACGCACACGTGCCCGGCGTGAGTTTTAAGCCACCGGGTCCGGGACACGAACCACAGTTGACTACGTGGGAGTCCAGCGACATAGCCATTACGCTAACTGCTGGTTCCCTACAATTTTAACAGTACAAAATTAGAACTCAATTTTACAGATCAACTTTCAACTTCCTTATTATTTTATTTTATCTTTAATTGATAAATATTTATACATACACATATATAAACACATGTACACACACACACACACACACACACACACACACATATATATATATATATACATACATATATGAGGTATGAGGTGGTTTTGATATTTATTTACAATGTGAAATAATTAAATCAGGCTAATTAATTAATCAATTACATCAGACATCATTTCATTGTAGTGAAAACATTTAAAATTTACTTTTAGCAATTTTGAAATACACAGAGGATTAATATTTATTATAGTCACCATTCTGTGTAATAGATCCCCTACACTTATTCTTCCTATCTAACGAAAGATTTGCATCCTCTGATTGGCAATTCTCCTTTCCCCAACCACTCGCTTCTCCAGTCACCAGTGACCAGGATCCTACTCCCTGACTTTTTGCTATAGGGCACGTGCACTCACCAGAAAGACAGAGAGAGACAGAGAGACAGAAAGCGAGAAATCACCCCCAGGGGGGATGGCAATACCACAATCCTTTCTCCTCCATTTTCCTCTCAGAACCTTAGGCACATATGCACACGTGCCTGGCATGAGTCTGGGACTTGAACCACAGTCAACTACATGGGAGTCCAGCAACATAGCCATTACACCAACTGCTGGTCCCAGGACTGACTTTTTTTAGATTCCACTTTATAAGGTGTTCCCAAATGGTTATGGGAAATGCGTATTTATGAAAAATTATGCATGGATTTCAAAAATCTTTTGCACCAAAATAAACTTATACTTTAATCCATTTTGCAAGAAACTTCTTAAACCTCCTTGTTAGCCTTCTTTTTTTTTTTTTTTTTTGTAAGAACACTTAAGATCTACTCTTTTAGAAATTTTCAGGCTGGGGCCAGCAAGTGGCATGGTGATTAAGGTGCTGAACTCCCACATGGCCAACCGCAATTAGAATTCTGGACCTACAGAACATGTTCTTTAGTAAGGATTAAACCAGAGACTAATAAGATAGAAATTTAAAATCACTTAGAAAACTCAGTGAACATCCCATTGTTCCAGACCTAGGGGCCTGCTTTCTCATTTTCTCTCTTTCTGTCTTTCTCTGTCTCTTTCTGGCTAGTGTGTGTGCCCTATAGAAAATTTTTTAAAATAGTAATAAATAAAATTCAATAAATAAAAAAAGGAAAATCTCAAGTATACAATATTTTATTATTAACTATTGCTACCACACAGTACATTGGTCCCTAGAACATATTCACCTTACAAGTGAACATTTGTACACTTGGACCTACAGCTCCCACTACCCCCACTCTGGTAAACAGCATTCTACTGTCTGTGCGAGTCCGACGTACCAAGATCATGCATGTAAATTAAGTCATACACTTTCTTTCTGTGAGTGAATTGCTTTATCTAGATAATATTCTCCAATCTCATCCATATTATTGCAGATGTCAGGATTTCACCTCTATTTTTCTTCTGTATAGAGTGTTCCATATGTGTGTGTGCGCGTGTGTACATATCACATTTTCTTTATGCATTTATTCATCTATAGGCACTTATGTCGTTCTCACATTTAGACTATTTTATATAGCGCCACATCAGACATGGGAGTACAAGATCTCTTGAATATTGTGATTTCAGGTCCTTTGGGTATATACTCAGACAAGTGGTTGCTGGATTATACGGTAGTTCTAATTTCAATTTTTTGGGAAACCCTCATACCGTTTTCCAACATGGGTCTACTAATTTATATTCACTGCAAAACTGTAAGAGTCCCTTTTCTCTACATCTTTGCCAACATTTATCTTTTCATTTATTTTTGATAACATCCTCTGTAATGATGCGAGGTGATTGCTCATTTTAATTTCAATTTGTATCTCTCTAATGATCAGTGGTAATTACCTTCGTGTGTGTGTGTGTGTGTGTGTGTAAAATCTGCTGACCATTTCTATGCCTTCTTTGGGAAAATGTCTATTAATGTCTTTTTCTTTTTGTTGTTGCTGCTATTTTTGTTTTTACTGCAGGGCATGTGCATTCACTGTAGAGAGACAGAGAGGCAGAGAGAGAGAAAGTGAGAAATCATCCCCTGGGGAGATGACCATGCTGCAATCTCTTCTCCCCAATTCTCCTCTCAGGATTTTGGGCAAGCATGCACACATGCCCAGTAGGAGAGTTCAAGCTGCTGAGTCCAGGACTTGAACCATGGTCAACCATCTAAGAATCCAGCACTTTAATCACCACGCCACCTGTTGGCCCCCTTTGCCCATTTTTTAATCAGATCATTTGTTTTAATACTATTGAGCTGTAAAATGTCTCAGATACTTCAGATACTAACTTCTTGTCAGATATATGTGTGCATATACCCTCATCATTTAATAGGCTGTTTTTTCATTTTTTTATGCTATGCAGAAATTTTTTGATTAAAAAAATAGACAAAGACACACACAAACATACACATAAAATTACATGCCAATATCTCTGAAGAACATAGATGTAAAAATTCTCAACAAAATACTAGCAGACATAATCCAACAACACATCACAATGATTTTACAGTAGGACCAATGCTGTTTATTCAGGGATATAAAGATGACTCAGCATACACAAATGCATAAATCTCACACACCAGGTGAACAGATGAAGGACAAAAACCTGTATGATCATATTGACAAATGTAAGAAAAGCATCTGCTGGCCCCAAGCACAGGGGCAGAGGTGGTGCACAGCTCTGCCATGCTGGAAACTGTAGAATATTGCGCTTGGTTCTCAGGTCAATCTGTACATGGTAAGCACATATGTATGCACAATCCTGGCTTACTGAGAAGGTTGGGGGGACAATCAAAGAAGAATAACCTGTTGAAGTTTCTTGTCTTCCTCTCAATCTTTCTTTCTCTTTCTCTAACTCTCATGAAAGAAACATTTTTTAAAAATTTGTTAAATGCAACATCCCTTTATAATAAAAACCATCAACAAATTAGGCAGAGAAACATACCTCAAAAAATTAAACATATTAAACTATAGATGCAGCTAAAAGAAAAATTTATACCTATAGACACGTAAAAAACTTAAAAAGAATCTCAAGCCCACCTACGTATATA